CAACACAATCAACTCCACGGAACAACAGAGCGCATTCCGGCAGATGGTCAGTACTCTCCTGAGAGTGTGCTTTCTGACCGAAGAGGAGACAGTGGATGCCATGAATTTGCAGGTTCTCAGAGCGGGCAGGACTCAGTCTCCAGCTCAGGAAACAACAGCGATGGAATAACCTCTGGGCCAAATCACACCCTCAAGGTCCTACAATGGAACATTCGGGGCCCTGAGGGGCAAACAGCACCTCTTGCTGGAGCAGTAATTGGGGATCGGGTTGACATCGTCTTGCTACAAGAAACTCTGACTGTCCCGACTATGTGCCCAAGACTACCCGGTTTTGCTGGGTATTTTCGGCACATGGACCCGGGCTTTCACTGCAGAGGCACAGCTGTATTTGTATCCAATACAATACCTCACGAGGTTATAGCCAACCCTGTGGACTGTGGGGAGGATGTCGAGGTACAGGCCATCCTTGTGCACATACCTGGGGCGCCCATTACCATCTATAACATCTACAAGAACCCAAGACACACCTCGACATTGCAGAGCTCCTCGCACTAGCACGCACTGAGTGTATTATTGTGGGTGGAGATTTCAACGCACATCACCCTATTCTGCACTCTCACTCAGCAACCAATGCTGCTGGCAGACATATAGCAATGCTCCTACACGATATTCCAGAGGTAAAGTTGCTAAACAATGGAGACCCCACACACCTGTTGGGTGGCTGCCTCGACCTTACCTTCGGGTCAAGACAACTCGCAGCAGGAGCCACATGGGAAACTCATCCTCACCTTGTCAGTGACCACTTTGCAGTGATCACCACCTTCAACATCAACAGGCCTCCCACAGTTGTGCTGCCTCCTAGATGGGACGTAAAGAGGGCCAACTGGAAGGTGTTCCAGGATTATCTTCATAACTGGTGGTCCACATACTCTCTATCTGAAGACTGTGATACGGCTGAACAGGAGCTAATCACTGTTCTCATCCAGGCAGCAGAGTGCGCAATTCCAAAGAAGTCCGCAGGACGCACTCACAAAAGAGACTGGTGGTTCTACAACGACGAGGTGCGGGAGCAGAACCACCGCATCAACTCTTTTAGGAAGCTATACAGGCGTAACCCTACGGCAGAGAACAGGAATTACTCTGAGAGCCATTGTGCAGCATGCCCGCAGAATCTCTCTCAGAGTAAAAACTGAAGAATGGCTGGAGTGGTGCTCAGCATTCGGGCATCACACCACCTTATCTGAGATATGGGCAAGCTCAACATAGCAACTGGCAAGAGCAAGCCGAGGCCACCAGCACACCGAACCCATTCCCAGGAAGCAGAGAAACTAGTGGAGCTTTCACTTCCAGGGGAGCCTCCACTCAGCTCCCACAGGACATCCGGAATATACAGACGGATCTTCTGCCACAGCGCCAGCTAACGATACAAGCTGCATGTGAGTCGGAAATGTGACTGATGTAGACCTCACGGACTTGGAACTCCGACGTGCCATTAAGAACACAGGTGACACTGCCCCGGGCATCGATGGTGTGACGTACTCCATGATTGCATGGGCTGGGCAGAGTGGATGGGAGGCCATACTAGACGTCATTAACAAGTCGTGGAGGGCCAGGACACTCCCAGCAGCTTGGAAGAAAGCTACAATCATACCAATTCCAAAGCCCAAGGACCCAGGCAGTATGAGACCCATATCGCTGACCAGCTGCTTAGCCAAGACTGCTGAGAGGATGGTGTTAAACCGCCTCCTATGGAAACTTGGACCCTCTCATCATCACATATTTGGCTTCACCAAAGGAGTGGGAACAGCAGAGTGCATAACCACTCTACTAAGCCAGATTGCTGATAGCAACAAAAAACCTAGTATCGTCGTCTACCTCGACCTTGAGAAGGCATTTGAGCTAGCCAGCCCCACAGCAATTCTGGCAATACTAGCTCGGAAGGGAATCAAAGGACGCCTCCTGGCCTGGATAGAATCCTACCTTAGGGGCAGGCAGCCTGTGTCAGCTTTCAGGGACACTACTCTTCCTTAAAACCCTGGAAAACGGTACGCCACAAGGAGGTGTGCTCAGTCCTACCCTGTTTAACATCCTTATGCAGGAACTTGTGAGCCTTCCCTTTCATAGTGGTACACAGCTCCTCAGCTATGCTGATGATCTTGCACTAGTAGTGAATGGGAAAGGCAATTTAGAACGACAGGCTCAGAGAGCTTTGGACCTAATTACGCAGTCTTGCAAGGACTAGGCCTCAAGATCTCGGCCGAGAAATCTCTTGCAATGATGTTCAAGGGACCAGATCCTATGAATAGATTACGTATTCAGGATATAGAACTTGAGTGGACAGGCTCCTACCTGTACTTGGGAATCTACATTGATAAAAAGCTGACCTTTCAGAAACAGGCCGAGTATGTCAGGTCACGTGCTCTACTCAGACTCAACGCCATGAGAGCCATGACGAGGCACCGTGCAGGGGGAAGCAAAGATGTACTTCGCTTGTACTATATACAAGCTATACGCTCGCTCATTGACTACAGTGCACCGGCTTTAGCTCATCTCTTCCCGCAGAGCAGGCAAAGGGTGGAGGTCGTACAAAACCAGGGGATAAGAACTATTGCTTGGTGCCCCCATCTGGACCAACACAGTATGTCTCAGATCTGAGGCCCGGCTTCCTTCCTTGGCTGACAGAGTAAGATACATAAACGCCTGCAAAGTGGCCACGATTCTGCACCGGCAGCAAGGTACCCCACTAAAGGGGACGGATATTAACAACCATGTCACAAGATCCCACACTCTTCACGGACTACTCCTGGATTCGTTCGTTTTGTGCTGCTGGGCGGAAGCTGCTGCCTGTACAGCTGCTCTTTTGAGAAGAGTTGTGACCTTCCTGTTGCTGGGTACCATCCACCACCTCCCTGGCGCCAGATCCAGCCGATGTTTTCATCATGCAGCTGCCCATCTCTAAGTGTCTCTGCAGTCGAGACACCCTCAGCAATCATGCTGAGACAAGCATGGCACTGGCAGAGGGAGGCACATGTGCAGTGTATTTCACAGATGGTTCTGTCGACCCCGATAGGAAGAGAGCAGCAGCTGGACTGTACCACAATGGTCACACACAAGGCTGGCGACTCCCTGACCACTGCACGATCCTTCAAGCTGAGCTGGTGGCGATTCAGCAGGCATTGTCACATGCCCTACGACATCGACTCCGACCTGTCATACATGGGTTTATTCCACCTCTGCAATCAATGCCCTCTCCCATCCTCAACCACAGGATAATGTTCACCTCATCACATCGATCCTGAGCATAATGACAGCCTTAGAAGTTCAGGGTAAATAGATCGACATTGAACTGGATCCCCAGCCATGCTGGCATCCGGGAAATGAGGCGGCAGATGATGCAGCCAAGGCAGCAACAGACTATCCACATGTTGGGATTACTGTCCCCAAACAGCCTACGACAGACCAAACTGGTGGCTGCCAGAGCCACGAAACTTATGGGGGAGGTCTTAGGTGATACCCCATCTCAACAGTGGTACCGAGCAGCGACTCAGGGAGAACCCCCTCCATATGATAGAAGCTGGTCCAGAGCGCAGTGTACCGCCATCCATCGGCTTCGTTTGGGCTTTCCCACAGCCAAGATGATGGTAGACAAGGCTGAGGAGGAGATGTGCAGTACTGTCAGCACGTTGTCCAGCGGCCCCTAACACACTATCTTCTAGAGTGCGAAGCTACTGAGACACTCCGCAGGCAACTAGGGGTGATATTCCCTCCCGAAGAGGACCCAGAGATGATGCGGCCACACTAGTGTATCATGGGGTCAACGAACCAGACAAGCTGTTTCCTGTAATAATGACATATCCTCCTCCTCGTAGTGTCCATAGTTACATATGGTGTCGATTATGAGATGCACCAGTTGAACTGACCAGAGGGGCGCTTGAGCGCATGCGTCGCATCATTGTGGAAACCTTTCTCCATCGGAGCCAGAGACGGGTCGTCGCAAGATTGGGACCCGTGCCAGCTATGGTCTTGGCGAACATTTATACATTAAACTCTACATTAAGAATCAAAACATTAACGAGTGAGTGCACGGGTGAAATACAACCTTAATGACCTTAATAACCAACCAGCGGTGAACCTTAGTGGGCGCCAGAGCCCGATGAGATGCACGTCATCTCCTTCGAGACAGAGGAACCAATACTGAACCCTCCCAAGATACCTAGGCTGGAGATTGTAACTGTGAGTAGTGAGAGCTTCTCAAAGATTAATGTTTAAACAGAATTGGATACATCAGCAGTGTGCTACCACACTACTGATTCTAACTGAATATTGTGCAAAGATTTCCCAAAATTATTAGTGTTTGGTTACTGAATAACAGTTATGTTGTAAGACACGAAATCTAGTTTTCTAACAATAATGCAATAAAGTTACCCGAATTTTTCTGCTAGAAATTTCAAAGTCGTGAATTTCAGGTCACGAAGGCTGACTAGAAGCCCCAGGCTAGATAGCACTGGACAATTTCATAGTCTTGACTGATTTACTCTCATAAACAGTTAATATCACTAGAATGTTTCGTTCAGAATATAATACTTAAAAAAAAAGTATTCCTGTTGGTATTATTTTGACACAGATTAACTGGATTAGTCAACACAGGTAATCTTATGTTTACTGTGTATACAGTCAGTATAAGGGGGGTGACTTACCTATATTAATGTACCAGCAGTTATAAGGGGAGACTCACCTATATATAATGTCCAGCAGTTATAAGGGGGACTCACCTATATTAATGTACCAGCAGTTATAAGGGAGACTCACCTATATTAATGTACCAGCAGTTATAAGGGGAGGACTCACCTATATTAATGTACCAGCAGTTATAAGGGGAGACTCACCTATATTAATGTACCAGCAGTTATAAGGGGAGACTCACCTATATTAATGTACCAGCAGTTATAAGGGGAGACTCACCTATATTAATGTACCAGCAGTTATAAGGGGAGACTCACCTATATCAATGTACTTGCGATGCATGCCGTCGTATGGCGGCCACTCCAAGGTTCTGAACCGGTTCTTCTCCGAAACTCTATCTGAGGACTGGTTGGTAGGCTCGTTGGGGTTGCTGCAATTACAATTACAATTAGGTTTCATTCTGGATGATGATAGAGAGGTAAGGCGTTTTCAACTGGTTTCTATCCGTAGAGAGAAACGAGTTGAAAACCAGTGTTGTAGTGCAAATTAAGATAAGAATAAGATAAGATTTTCTTGGGATTTTTAACCCCGGAGGGTTAGCCACCAGGATAACCCTAGAAAGTCAGTGTGTCATAGAGGACTGTGTCTGATTTTCATTTCCTAATGTTTCCATCGTACCGGGGATCGAACAACGCACTCGGATCACACACTGGAGGCCGTGGTTCGATCCCCGGTACGGGGATGTGTTTCCTTAAGACACCTGCTGTCCATATTCACCTATCAGTAAAATAGGTACCTGGGTGTTAGTCGACAGGTGTGGGTCGTATCCTGGGGACAAAACTAACCAAATTTGCGCGAAATGCTCAGCATAACAAGAGGCTTTCTATATCATTCATGTCAGCAAGGCCTGTATACCTTGTACATGTAGAAATAACGATATTAAAAACAGAACACTGGGGCCAGGACATACCTGATTCTCAGCTGTTATTCTTTTTGTTTCCTGCATAAGTTAGGGCAAAGATAGAGAAGGAACTATACCGAAAATTCGCATCCATGATTATTCCTTGAGTAACATTGATAATGGGTCGGGCGAACATTTTTTTTTTGTAGTGGGTTTGGGTTTGACAAGGACCTGCCAAGTTTAGGCAGGCGTCTTAAGAAAATACATCCTAATATTTCCACCCGTACCGGGGATCGAACCTCGGACCTCAGTGTGTGAGCTGAGTGCGCTACCAATAGAGCTACGGGTTTTAAGTGAAGACCTGTTAAGTACATCTACTGACGTATCCCTTGGCTTACTGGAACACGAATTTTACAGGTATTTATTAAGATCATCACACAACAGCCTAACTTAGAAAGACAGTAAGAGTAGAAAGCAAATGCAAAAGGGAAACAGAAAAGAAAATGGACGAAGGAATGTGGAGATGTGGTAGAAGGTAAACAGAAATGGCTTTTAAAAAGGAGAGAGAGAGAGAGAGAGAGAGAGAGAGAGAGAGAGAGAGAGAGAGAGATGATGTAGGTGTCAAATCTTGGCTTGTAAATACAGAACCCTAAACCTAACCTTGTAGAACCCTGTGTAAGAGAGAATGAGAACGAGAGAAAATGAGAATAAGAGAGAATAAGAGAGAAAAAGAGAGATATAAAAACAGACATACACGTACCCAGTCCTGGCGAAGTTGGTCCAGTAGGTCAACATGGCTTCTGCCAGCTTGACCTCAGGTTGGGTGTAATTGATGGGGAAATAGGACAGGGTGTCGACGAGTGGGGCTCCCCACACATAGGGTAGTTCCTCCCCATGTACACAGCCGAGCCGCTGCTGCGAACATACACGAGGTCGCGTCAACACACGATCATACACTGTGTGACATACATGATTCAGATTTTGGAGAGGAAATTTTTTGACGACGTTTTGGTACATCCTAGATAGAAACGTTTGTGAAAAGCAATGTGTTTTGAATTAGGGACGAATTTCGAGAGAGAGAGGAGAGAGAGAGAGAGGGAGTGACGAGAGAGAGAGAGAGAGAGAAGAGAGAGAAGGAAAGAGAGAGAAAAGAGCGGAAAAGAAACTGAGAGAGAACGATCAGATGAGAGAGGAAGAGAGAGAGAACAGATAGAACGAGGAAAGAGAGAGGAATAGACAGATGAGAGAGAGAGAGAGAGAGAGGACAGAGAGAGAGGAGAGAAGAGAGGACAGAGAGAGAGACAGAGGGAGAGACAGAGAGAGACAGAGACAGAGAGAGAGGACAGAGAGAGAGAGAGAGAGAGAGAGGACAGAGAGAGAGAGAGAGAGAGAGACAGAGAGAGAGACAGAGGGAGAGACAGAGAGAGAAGAGAAGAGAGAGAGGACAGAGAGAGAGGACAGAGAGAGAGAGACAGAGAGAGAGACAGAGAGAGGGAGAGAGAGAGAGAGAGAGAGAGAGAGAAGAGAGAGAGAGAGGAGAGAAGAGAGAGAGAGAGAGAGGACAGAGAGAGAGGACAGAGAGAGAGGACAGAGAGAGAGGACAGAGAGAGAGAGGAAGAGAGAGAGGAGCAGAGAGAGAGGACAGAGGAGAGAGGACAGAGAGAGAGGACAGAGAGAGAGAGAAGAGAGAGAGGAGAGAGAGAGGAGAGAGAGAGAGAGAGAGGACAGAGAGAGAAGAGAGAGAGGAGAGAGAGAGAGAGAAGAGAAGAGAAGAGGAAGAAGAGAGAGAGAGAGAGAGAGAGAGAGAGAGAGAGAGAGAGAGAGAAGAGAGGAGAGAGAGAGAGAGAGGACAGAGAGAGACGACAGAGAGAGACGACAGAGAGAGACGACAGAGAGAGACGACAGAGAGAGACGACAGAGAGAGAGAGAACAGACAGAGAGAGAAGACAGAGAGAGAGAGAAGACAGAGAGAGAGAAGAGAGAAGAGAGAGAGAGAGAGAGAGAGAGAGAGAGATATAGGAAAAGACCAGACATTTACAGCAAATCACGATGTGGCAAAATTCCACCCTCAGAGAAATGATGCCAAATGTGCAAAAACATGCCCCCTGAGCGAAACGTTGCCCAAAAAGAAACTGCTCCCCACAATCTCCATACCAAAATAAAAGTAAAAAAATTTATTATTGATTATTATTCTCATGGGTAAGTTTTAAAAAAAAATTCCTTTTTTGACTTTGTCCTAATTATCTTCTCACAAAAAAAGGGTCCATCGACTCTGTCCTAAAAAAAAAAATTCTGATAAATTCCAATTTGGAGGTCCATAGGGGGAAACGTCCCCCTTTTGACCCCCAGCCTTATGTAGTAAACCCCAGCAGAAGACTTTCATCTGTCAATCAGAAAGTCACCCTAAAAAATCCCCGGAGTCACCCTAAAAATCCCAGAAAACTCACCCATAAATCCCCAAAAGTCACCTAAAAAGTCCCCAAAGCCCCCAAAAAAAGCCCCCAAAAAAAAGTCCCCATATAAAGTCACCCCAAAGTCCCAAGAAAAGTCACCCATAAGAACCCCCCAAAAAAAGTCCCCTTTAAAAAATCCCCCCAAAAAATTACCTTCAAAGCCCCCAAAAAAGCCCCGTACAAAGTCCCAGGAAAGTCCCCTACAAAAGCCCCCCAAAAAATCATCTACAAAGTCCCCGAAAAGTCCCCGTACAAAGTCCCAGAAAATCATCTAAAAAGCCCCCCAAAAAAAGTCACCCAAAAAAGCCCAACAAAAAAAAAAAAACGAAAATTTAAACGCTACAAAGTCCCCAAAAAACAAAGTTTTAACGTTACGAGTCCCCTAGAGAAAAAGGGCGAGCGCCCCCTCCAGTTTTCGTAGTCACCATTCTGGTCTGGTGATCAAAAGACTTAGGGGTTGGTCCTGGGGAGGCCAGGGGTGGGGTTCCCAAAGTATGCATGAAGGGGCGGTGTTAGAGGGCGTCAGAGAGCATGCCAGGTCTCGTCCTGTACGTGGGGGCGAACCCCGGGCGCTCCAGCCCGTTACTCGTTCACCACTGTGGCCATATCTCCGTCAGGGTGTGCCGGGGGTGTACATGTTTGTAAGGGTGTAGGGTGTTGTAAAAGGGGTTCATGTGTTTATTTTTGGGGGGTACAGGTGTTAATTCAGGATGTAAGGTGTTTTTAAGATGTCAGGGGTTAGTACAGGATTCACTTGTACAGGATGACAGTGTTAATTCAGGATGACAGGGTTTTGTACAGGATGTACGGGGTTGTACAGGGTTTTCATGGTTAGTACAGGATGTACGGTGTTTACGGGTGTACAATGTTAAAAAGGATGTACAGGTGTTATACAGGGTGTACAAGTGTTTAAAACAATGTCGGTGTTTAAGGAAAGCAGGGGTTAGTCAAGATGTAAGGTTTTGTCAAGATGTCAGGTGTTAGTCGGAGAAGGTGTTAGACAAGATGTAAGGTGTTGTAAAGGAGTACAGGTGTTAGTACAAAATTAAAGGTTTTAGTACAAGAGTACAGGTGTTGTACGGATGTAAAAGGTGTTAATTAGGATTTTCGGTGTTGTAAGGTGTACAGGTTTCAGTACAGGGGTGTACATGCTTTTTTAAGGATGTACAGGTGTTAGTACAGGTGTACAAGTGTAAAACTTTTTCGGGGTTTGTACAGGATTCGTGGAATACAGGATGACAGGTGTTATCAGGATGTACAGGTGTTGTCAATGTAAGGGGTTAGTCAGGGTGTCAATGTTAATACGGTGTCAGGTGTTTAAACGGATGTAAGGTTTAGTAAGGATGTACGGTGTTTTGTACAGGATGTACAGGTGTTAGTACAGGATGTACAGGTGTTGTAAAGGTACGGTGTTTTAAGGATGTACAGGTTTTAGTACAAAAGTACAGGTGTTGAAAGATGTAAGGGGTTTTGTACAGGATGTAAGGTGTTAGTACAAGAGTACAGGTTAGTACAGGAGTACGGTTTAGACAAGATGTAAGGTGTTAGTACAAGTGTAAAAAGGGGTTGTACAGGATGTAAGGTGTTAGTCAATGTACAGGTTTTAGTACGTTTTTACAGGGTTTAAAGTGAAAAGGGTTTGTACAGGATGTACAGGTGTTAGTAAGGATGTACAAGTGTTAGTACAAGATTACAGGTGTTAGTACAAAGTACAAGTGTTATACAAAATGTCCGGTGTTAGACGGATGTAAAGGTTTTTTTAGTACAAGATTTCAGGTGTTAATACAGGATTAAAAAGTGTTTAAAACAAATGTAGGTGTTAAATACAAGATGTAAGGTGTTGTACAGGATGTACAGGTGTTAATACAGGATGTACAGGTTTAATTCGGATTAAGGGGTTGTACAGGATGTAAAAGGGTTTTACGAGGGTTTTAATGTTAATACAGGATGTCAGGTGTTAATACAGGATGTAAGGTGTTAATACAGGATGTACAGGTGTTGTCAGGGTGTACAGGTGTTTAATACGGATGTCAGGTGTTTACGGGTGTCAAAAGTTAGTACGGTGTAAGGGGTTAATCCCGGATGTAAGGTGTTATACAGGTGTCGGTGTTTTGTAAAGGGTGAAAAGGGGTTAATACAGGTTTTCAGGTGTTATACAGGTGTACAGGGGTTAGTAAGGTGTACAAGTGTTAATCAGGATGACGTGTTAAACAGGTGTTCAGGTGTTAGACAGGTTTAAAATTTAATACAGGATGTACAAGTGTTAATCAGGGTGTAAGGTGTTAATACAGTGTACGGTTTAATCGGTGTACAGGTGTTAGTACAGGGTAAAAAGTTTTAGTACAGGATGTACAGGTGTTAGACAGGGGGTAAGGTGTTGTACAAAATTACAGGTGTTAGTGCAGGATTACAAGTGTTTAAAACGGGGTACAGGTGTTTTTTACAGGATGTACAAGTGTTAATACAGGATGTCAGGGTTTTTTAAAACGGGGGTACGGTGTTAGTGCAATGTACAGGGTTTAGACAGGATTTTACAGGGGTTAATACGGATGTACAGGTGTTGGCAGGATTAAGGGGTTTTAAGGTGCAGGGGTTAGTACAGGTGTAAGGTGTTGTACAGGTAAAGGGGTTTTTTTTAAAACAGGTGTTAAAGGTGTTAAGCAGAAAAATATGTTAACGACAAGGCTTGGAAAAAATAAAAATAATAAAAATAAAATTATTATTCATTTACCTCTGCGAGGTAAAATTTGATCCAAGGGGGAAAGGACAAGCTGTTTTGAACAAAAGTCTTTTTTTGAACAAAAGGGGTATGAAATGAAAAAAAAAGTGGTATTTTAATAAAAGGGTTTCATTTTTAAAAAAGGTCTATTGAAAAAAGGTCTTACTTGGAAATTTTGGGGTACTTGGAAATTAAAGGCGTACTTGGACAATAGGTGGTACTTTGGGCAATAGGTTACTTGGACAAAAAAGGGTTTTTACTTGGACAAAAGGTCGTACTTGAACAAAAAAGAATTTTTAAAAAAAGGTCGTCTTGAAAAAAAGGGTCGTACTTGAAGTTTCCGATGAACGTTTGAGCTTTTTTTTCCCTTTTGCCCGTCTAAAAAGCCGAACTTGACTCATCGTCTTTGAAACGTAAAAAATGCGTCCGGGGTGCCCTCTAATCCCTTTTACCCCCCCCCCCCCCCCTAGCCGTGCGATCACCACTCCGTCGCCGGGGGGTCCGAACGCGTAGATACTCCGGTACCTGCAGATAGATGGTTTTGAGGGATACTACCTAGTATAAAGGGGTGAGGATGACTACCTCTATCAGGCTGGGGGCTGATCCCACTACAAGGCTGGGGGACTGACTCCCCTACATCAAGAAGAGGGAGACCCCTACAAGGTGGGGGACTGACTACCTACTATCAAGGCTGAGGAGTGACCACCTACTATAAAGGGGCGGGGGACTGATCATACTTAAAGGTGGGGTTGACTATTTACAAAAAGGCGGGGGACGACCACCT